AAACTTTTCTCTTATTTGAAGCAAAATATTATCCCGAGTTTTGGGGTGGTAGGTGGTGTGATCGGCATGAGGAAGTTGTTTTATGCCAATATGTTAACACTGAAAGTCTAAGTTCATGTAGTATATGTGACCATCAGTGGTGTGATTGTGTTATAAGGAATATGAAATGTAGAGAATTGAGATACACTTCAACACGGAAATTATTTAATTGTCAGTGGTGACATCCAGTTCTGCCCTATATATAGCTTGCAGTTTCCTGATGCTGGACTGTGAGCTGAAACAATACACTGTCCAATGTTTTGTGATGGTATCTTCATCTCTGCGAAAAAAAATATTTTGGAACCAGCTTGAAGGAATTTATTATTATTTTCATTAAGGCACGCTTTAACAGAATGACATCTTATCGTCCTCCGGGTAAGTCCATATGATCAAAGTAGTTTTACAAAAATCCATTGATATTGAAATTTTAAAGAACAAGTATACTGGGGACCACAGAGTCTGCATGATATTAGAAATGTGTCAAATGTAACTTGTAGAAATTCTTATGAAAGGTATCAGATGTGTTCATATGAGGGAGAAGTCTAGACTTGATGTAACATTTAGGACAACACAAAGTATATGCGTGCACCTAAAACGTGTCAAAGAGGATATTGGAGGTTTTCAGGAAACATTTTTCCCATATCTGATCACGGACAAGTATTGTACCTAAAGGAAATATTGATAAAATCCAAACATACATTGAAGAATTTATCTTGGGTCACAGACATGCGACTCATACAGTTTTTACTGAACTGGCCTTTCTTAGTCTCCCAGTCACTCAGCTTTCCTAAGTATGCAAGTGCAGGACAGAAGAATGGCTAGCTGTCAGCCACTTGAACATGTCAGAGGAGTTTCAGGCCAATAAGTCCATGTTCTCTGTCTCTCAAATCTTCTTTTGGAGTCACAAAAATGGCCCTTACCCCTCCTTCGCCATCTTTTGAATAAAGATCAAGAATGAATTCAAGTTTTTTAATAACAGAAATAATGTTCTCTTTGCCTATTATTTGTTCATTGGCCTATCTCAACATGATGAAATCTTAATCCAGTGAACAAAATAATTCAAATGTTCTACATTACTATATTTACGATAAAACGAAGCATGAGAATGTCAGTGTGAGAGAGCTTATAATGTACCCCCATGACAGTTCCTAGTGGTCGCTGTAATGCTCCCTCTCCAGTAAGTTATGAAGTAAGTCTGCTAAACTTACCAAGGTGAAGAAGTAATACTATGTGACGTTCATGAGGTACTGACATCACATTGGCTTAATGTCAAGTATGTGTGATGGTGTGACACACTTAGGGCTTGATGGAAGACCAACCTGTCACTCCTGCAGCAGTTTACATTATCTGCTAAGTGGATATATTTCAAGTGAAGCTGGTTGCCAGTCTGTGTGTAATCGCTGATGTAATTCCCAGGTGAAGATGGTTATCTTGTAACATGGTGTATGAGAGAGGTGGTGGCATTTTGTGGGACGGCACTATATTATTAAAGGAGATTTACAGTAAGCTATAAATAAGGCATATTAAAACAAGTGTCTTGGAGGAAAAGATTCTAAAGACAAAATTTTGAAAAATCCCCGTTAAAATGTATTCTGGAAACTACCGAGAGTTGACGAGCAGAGTTGTCATCACGTGACCTGACGTCAAAGTGGACAGTTGACTTGGAGACGATCACTGTTTCTGTATAGTGTTTGGTGAATTACTAGCATTCGCCATAGCATCACCTGACCGAAAACATGTTTATCCATATTGATATGAGCCAGTTTTTAGTAAAAATAGAATTGACAGCAGCAAGGAAGATCTACCCAGTGAAGTCTGATGTCAACACGAAAGACTAGGGAACACAATCTGGTGTTTAAAAGCTATCCTGATATTTCTAAACAAAATGGATGTTTATTAAATACAAAATAATTTGTGAGACAGTTAATCTTGTGTAAAATGTGCCAGGTTTAGATTGACGCTATAATTGTCAAAACATTGTTTATTGTGTTATCTTATACCAAACAATTGGCATAGGGCTATTTAAGCTAAGTTTGTTTTCTATACAAATGAATGTTATGTGTTACAATTGTATAGTCTAGTGATGGTTGGTTCAGTTAATACTGCTGTGTAAAGTTATAATAATATGTACTTCACTGATCAATAGAGGGATATTTAGCTTACTACATGCACAGTGACTCTCCTCGTCTTGTGAAAAACATATCTATCATTATAACTTATGGACTACCATATATAAGAGAGAGACACAAACAAAGAATAAAATTATTTATTTAACAACAAATAAATGAACTAAAACTGACAATATCACACTAAATATACCTGTTACATTATAATTTCTGTACAAATTTTCACCAAATTTACACTCATCTGACCTAAAACTGTTTTTTGTCAAACAATCACTTATCCTAGATTTAGACAGAAAATGACTGATATAAATCATCCATGGTGGATCCAGAGGTGGGATTTAGGGGGTTAAACCACCCAACCACCCCCTCCCTTCCAAATCCACAACCAGTAAAACTTCCCTCCCCACCGAGGGTGAAAACAAAAAATCTGGATCCGCCTCTGAGTATTAATAGTCGATATAAACATACATGTATTTCCAATAAAAAATGACACACAAATACTTTTTTCACATTGACATTTATAGTTAAGTTATTCCTGAAATAAATACATGTACTTGATATTTTTTATTTTTCATTTGTCATGACCAAGACATCTTCATTTATGCCATCTATCCTGTTTTCATATTTAAAAAGGGGTGTTTATAAAGGCCGTGGTGGTAAGCATAATGTGTTTGTATTCTTTTTTAAAATGAGGACTCAATTTCAGGACTTGCAGATACTGTGCATAAATTTATTTTTGTAAGAAATGGAAGAAACACAAAACAGCATGTCCAGTTGGTTTCCATTTCCCTCCACGCTGACATTGCTTTATCCAAACTTTCCTCCTTGATAAATCTGCCTTTTCAATGTTTTTTTCAATAGATATCCTATAATGTACTGTTCTTTAGGGTTTGGGTAAAATTGAGATAAGCCTATCCATAACCCAACCCTATTCCTGAACACAACCCTAAGCCTAACCCTATTAACCCTAATCCCCACCCTGTCCCTAACCCAGAGCCTAACTCTATTCCTGATACCCAGGCTTAAACCCTAACCTTAATCCTGAATCCAACCCAACCATTTACCCTAGCCCTAGCCCTAGCCCTAGCCCTAGCTCTAACCCTAGTCCTAGCCCTAGCCCTAACCTAGCCCTAACGTAGCCCTAGCCCTAGCCCTAACCCTAACCCTAACCCTAGCCCTAACCCTAGCCCTAACCCTAACCCTAACCCTAACCCTAGCCCTAGCCCAAACCAAGCCCTAGCCCTAGCCCTAACCCTAACCCTAACCCTAACCCTAACCTAGCCCTAACCTAGCCCTAACCCTAACCCTAACCTAGCCCTAACCCTAACCTAGCCCTAACCTAGCCCTAACCCTAACCTAGCCCTAACCCAAACCTAGCCCTAACCTAACCTAACCTAACCTAACCTAACCTAACCTAACCTAACCTAACCTAACCTAACCTAACCTAACCCAACCCTAACCTAGCCCTAACCTAGCCCTAGCCCTAACAAAAACCTAGCCCTAGTCCTAACCCTAACCTAACCTAACCTAACCTAACCCTAACCCTAACCCTAACCCAAACCTAGCCCTAACCCTAACCCTAACCCTAGTCCTAGACCTAGCCCTAGCCCTAGCCCTAGCCCTAACCCAAACCTTGCCCTAGCCCTAACCCTAACCTAACCCTAACCCTAACCCTAACCCTAACCCTAACCTAGCCCTAACCCTTACCCAAACCTAGCCCTAGCCCTAACCCTAACCTAACCCTAACCCTAACCCTAACCCTAACCCTAACCCTAACCTAGCCCTAACCTAGCCCTAACCCTAACCCAAACCTAGCCCTAGCCCGAACCATAACCTAGCCCTAACCTAGCTTATTTTATAGCTGTAAGTTTACTGCATCATGCGCCAGCATGGGGTATTTGACAGCAGTCAGTATAACTTGGCATACAACCTTATTGAAAACAGGTGGATGATTTGAGAAACTTTGGAATTGTATTAGATGAAGCCAATAAAGATAATGTGTTTTTAGTGCACCGACCAATAATTTCACTTATGGCACATGTGTAAATCACTTAGTAGATGTCAGGATATCTACTGGCAGTCTCACCTGTAAATTTCCATTTGACTGCAAAATGTTACTTCCCAACCCACATCTCCATCTTTGTCAGGGGATTTGATGTAATTTTTGTTTTATATATTTTGAGTGTTAATCTTATATTGCTTTCTACAAAGTAAACATCACATTCTCAAGGGGTCATCGGTGGCCCTGTTGTCTAAGGCCCTGCAATTCACTGGGCAGAGTTGCAGCCCTTGGGCCTGCCAGAAACCTATGATTTTGGGTTCAAAACCTGGTTTGCCCTGATCATGTTTCTTTGTTTGTAAGCACCATAACCGTGCTCATGGGTTTCACTAAAGTGGTAAACGTCTGGGACCTGCATCACTTCGGGCTTTCCTCCCACATGAAGCTGACTTGCTGTGATATAACTGGAATCCTGTCAAACTCGGTGTTAAACTCAACTGCTCATATTCTTCAACCCTAGTCGTAAATTGTGTTTGAGTAAAAACATACATAATTTCTTACATTCTGGGCATCATGGAGTTCCCACCTGTGTGGAACAGACATCAGTATTAGGTAATGCTCCCAGCTCACATCAAGACGTTTCAACCTGATGCTAATGAAGCTTGATTGAAGAGGTAACACTAACGAACTCCTATACTATATGGTACGACACTAATGACTTCAATCCATACTCTGCACATGGTGTTCTGAAATGAGTGCTGCTGATTCTAGGGTATTAAACACAGTCTTCATCATGTTTATAATGACACGCTTCATCCTCATCAATGACGTCTTACCTCACAATCAGGAGATGCCGAGTTTATGGCAGCAGTGGACATACATCTTGTCTGGCTCAGCTTGGTGGGGATGTCATTTGTAGGAGGCTGGTTGTAACAGTATGTAGACAATATTAAGCATTTATGGCATTTTGAATCAAATTATTAGAAATTAGAAATCATGAAAATAACATGAAACAAGAAATCATCAATGGATACAGTGTTCTCAATGCTGGAGATCATTGGAGTAATCATTATTTGTAGTGCAACAAATGTGCTGCACATGGAGTGATCATTATTTGTACTGCAACAAATGTGCTGCACATGGAGTGATCATTATTTGTACTGCAACAAATGTGCTGCACATGGAATGATCATTATTTGTACTGCAACAAATGTGCTGCAAATGGAATAATCATTATTTGTACTGCAACAAATGTGCTGCACATGAAGGTGTTATATCGCAGTACAATATTGTGACAATAGATGATCACAAATCTTTTGATAGATTACCAGCTATAAGGAAAACTACCCAGAGTGATATGCATATATGCCCATGTCAGGACCTCATAAAGCATAACTACATTTAGATTACATCACAACAGCAAATCAGACTGTTGTCATGCCGGCCCTTGATAAGCCTTTATGTCCAACATTGTGATGAGAAGCAGGTAATGGCCCCAACTTATCTGTCAGTACATCAATCATTTTCATTTAGGGTACACAAAGATAGGGACTTGCAAAGTACTTTCCAAATTCCCTATGATGAAATATATATTTAATAAAGTTGATGAAATGTGCACGTCAGTGGATGATATTTACGACCTGGGGAACAGAGTGTGGAGCATGTTTTTTCTTGTGTTGTGTGGCTCTTCTTGAAGGTACTCGTATATATAACTCCATTATACATCTTTTTATGACACGCAGGTACAGATGGGGTGTACAGCATCTTGCCAAAGATGAATGCTGATGTGTTATGCAAAGTCAGCTGCAATAAAAACTCATACATTGCAATCATAGGTGAAGCATTTGACTGATCCGTCATACGGGTATCCTAGACGAGCAGTGGCATGACATACAGATATATTATGGACCAGGATCTTGGTAGCAGGATGTATTCATGAGAGATAATGTATTGTGACGTGTGACGTCCGTGGGGGATTTTCCCACATGCACAAAACATATTCATTTAACAAGGAGAAGGATGATGCATGTACATTCATGTACAACTGGTTAATGATGATATGATGTCACAACTTATTCATTATTTGTATGCCATGGAGAACAACTTTTTTAAAAGTCATTGCTTTAGTAATACCTATATTTTGATATTTTCACTTGTTAATTCGAAAAAACTACTAATATTCCAATGATTACATGTAACAGCCAATAAATATGGTAAGTTGGTCATGGTCATAGAGTCACAACCAGGGTAATTTCTTCTCTTTTTTGAGGAAAAAGGATAATTAGAGTTTGTTGTTGCCTTAGTAACTTGTCTGATCCGTTGACCAGCACCTCTGTGCAGCTTGATGCTGGGGCTCCGGAAGCTTCGTCCCCCTGGTCCATGTATTACAATGAAATCAGGCATGTATTATACACATGTACTCAAAACTGTGAAATATTCATGATGAATTTTTAAATTTTTCTCATGGCCTGGAAATAGTTTTGCATGAAGTCAGTATCCTGGTGCATTGATTCGAATTGAATACGATTTATTACTGCATTTCTGATGCATATCAAGCTGGTTTTACAGGGACCTGCCCACACCCACTGGGTACAATCTCACACCAGGCTAGCCAGGCCTGTTTCAAGGAAGCCTGGTATAGATCATGTGTCGTGAACTTGAGAGTTATACAACAGTTCACAGTGGGGTGCTTTTAGTTGGAAGAACAATGAGGTATCTCTGTCATAACTTACTCTGGTCGTAAACCTGTTAACTGACAGCATGTCATATATTAGAGACAGCAAGATTATAATTAAATACAGCCGGCCTCCAACCATCTCTTGTTGCAGCCCATACTGTCACAGGTCTCACAGGGAGAAAGATGTTTTCCGTTAACACTGGTCATTCTTGCTCATATATATTTATACACATTATACAAGGTTAGAGATCCTTCACAATGCATTGCTTGACAATGTAATTATCAGTCCTGAAGGTTTCGTTGTTCTATATTGATTTTGTATTAGTGATGGATAACGTTTCACAACTGCCAATCTGTACCATCCCTTCACAATACATCAGGCCATCTGGGTTTAGGTATATTGATGAAAGCCAGGTTGTTCAAAAAGACATGGCTGAGTTTTGTAACATGTCAGTCTGCTGATGTTTTAAATGCTTTTTATGTCTTAATGTCATCTGGTTACATTTCTAAATACAGTCGAACCTCATTGTGTCGAACTCGTGGGGACCTTGGAAAGTTCTGTTTATTTTTTTTTAATAGATAGACATGAGGGGAATTTAATGGGTTATTTTATATACTTGAGACTTTCAAATGAATTTGAGACAACCCACGAATTCGACACATCCAAGTTTGACACAACGAGGTTCCACTATATCCAACTATGCAAATTGGCAGTGTAGACGACTGACTGACTGACTGCAGACTGACTGACTACAGTGTCTGTCTGATTGACTGTCTGTCTGTCTCTATGTCTGACTGTCTGTCTGAAGTGTCTGTATGTCTGTCTGTCTGCAGTGTGTCTGTCTGTCTGTGTGGGATAACTGCATCATGTGGTGATGCAGGGAAAGCAGATCACGCCATTGATTAACTTGAACTGAAGCAAGCCACAATGACTAATCAAGCACTAGGGACATCAGAAGTGTGTGTGTTGGTTATAAAACTAGCATTGGTAGTCACAAAATAGTCATTGATACTACTTGGCTTCATTAGTCATCATTAGTGACTCAGGACTGTGTAGTCAGCTTGTAAAACCAAGTTTGTATCCTGTAGGTCTGAAGTAAATCTAGTTCCTCATCTCAAGTAAATCTAGTTCCTCATCTCAAGTAAATCTATTTCCTCATCTCAAGTAAATCTAGTTCCTCATCTCAAGTAAATCTAGTTCCTCATCTCAAGTAAGTCTAGTTCCTCATCTGGAGTAAATCTATTTCCTCATCTCAAGTAAATCTAGTTCCTCATCTCAAGTAAATCTATTTCCTCATCTCAAGTAAATCTAGTTCCTCATCTCAAGTAAGTCTAGTTCCTCATCTCAAGTAAATCTATTTCCTCATCTCAAGTAAATCTAGTTCCTCATCTGGAGTAAATCTATTTCCTCATCTCAAGTAAGTCTAGTTCCTCATCTGGAGTAAATCTATTTCCTCATCTCAAGTAAATCTAGTTCCTCATCTCAAGTAAATCTATTTCCTCATCTCAAGTAAGTCTAGTTCCTCATCTCAAGTAAATCTAGTTCCTCATCTCAAGTAAATCTATTTCCTCATCTCAAGTAAATCTATTTCCTCATCTCAAGTAAATCTAGTTCCTCATCTCAAGTAAGTCTATTTCCTTATCTCAAGTAAATCTAGTTCCTCATCTCAAGTAAATCTAGTTCCTCATCTCAAGTAAATCTAGTTCCTCATCTCAAGTAAATCTAGTTCCTCATCTCAAGTAAATCTAGTTCCTCATCTCAAGTAAATCTAGTTCCTCATCTCAAGTAAATCTAGTTCCTCATCTCAAGTAAATCTAGTTCCTCATCTCAAGTAAGTCTAGTTCCTCATCTGGAGTAAATCTATTTCCTCATCTCAAGTAAATCTAGTTCCTCATCTCAAGGAAATCTATTTCTTCATCTCAAGTAAATCTATTTCCTCATCTCAAGTAAATCTAGTTCCTCATCTCAAGTAAGTCTATTTCCTCATCTCAAGTAAATCTAGTTCCTCATCTCAAGTAAATCTAGTTCCTCATCTCAAGTAAATCTAGTTCCTCATCTCAAGTAAATCTAGTTCCTCATCTCAAGTAAATCTATTTCCTCATCTCAAGTAAATCTAGTTCCTCATCTCAAGTAAATCTATTTCCTCATCTCAAGTAAATCTAGTTCCTCATCTCAAGTAAATCTAGTTCCTCATCTCAAGTAAGTCTAGTTCCTCATCTCAAGTAAGTCTAGTTCCTCATCTGGAGTAAAAATCTATTTCCTCATCTCAAGTAAGTCTAGTTTCTCATCTCAAGTAAGTCTAGTTCCTCATCTCAAGTAAATCTAGTTCCTCATCTCAAGTAAATCTAGTTAGTCTGAACTAAATGTAACTAGTATGAAGTAAATCTATTAGTCTGAACTAAATTTAACTAACCTGAACTAAATCTAGTTCGTCATAATCTTGCACAGTTCTAGTGAAAATATTTCTACAGACAAGAACATAAAAATTAATGGTTGAGGCCAATCCTTCAAATTATTGTCTAGGATGAAGAATTAACTAGGTACATTTTTATCATGATTTTTGACCATGGTATACCCCGTCACATTAAATATTCTTGCCGAAATACTTCCTTGTTTGTTTAAAGTAAAGGATATGGATGTACATGCTATTTGATTGCATTGTTCCTACATTTAGTATGGTTAGTTATCAGCTAAACGTTTTTCCTTGTCGTGACAAATACTGATATATAACTTTCCCGAATCAGATAACGTCAAGATTGGCATGAGGGGCAGTGGGGTAGCCTAGTGGTTAAAGCTTTCACTCGTCACGACGAAGCCCCTGGGTTTGATTCCCCATGGGTACAATGTGTGAAGCCCATTTCTTGTGTCCCCTGCCTTGATATTGCTGAAATATTGCTAAAAACGGGGTAAAACCCAACTCACTCATTTTTTTCACTCATTTTTTTTGCGTGGAATAACAGTCTGGCTAAAGGTTCTGAAATGTCCCAAGCCCGACTGGCTACTGAAATTTTAATGATGACTTTTGTATGCACACCTCTTAGTTTATCAAAATATAATTTTTTTTTCTGTTACTGTGGATCAACACGACCATAAAAGTTATAAATCCATAACAAATCAAGATTCTGCAGTTACTCCACTTCATAATATTTGAATCATGTTTCGCAATGAGGTTTTACTTTATTGAAACCTTCACCGAATCAAATTTCTGGGAAAAATATACTGTCACATATTAATGCTAGTGAAATTTGAAATTGGCTAGTAACTATTTAGGCTAGGTAGCACACCTGTGCAGCAATATTATGAGACTTTTTCACATGATGCCTATAGCTTGAATATTAAGGAGTGTGACATTATTCAACAAACAAACAATACAAACATGGTTGGTATTTAATTTCTAGCTCCAATACCAGTAAATAACCTGATGAGATCAGTCACAAATAGTTTACAGTGAGTCACAGCACTTTGTTAGTGAGAGAAGTATTCAGGGAAACAGCACATATTTTAACAAAAGCATGTATGATTCATATGTGGAATTATTGATTCATAACGGCATTGTTGAATGACAATAAATGTTTAAGGAAAATAGTACATAAAAATACATTCCTGTTCTTTAAAACATTATTTTTGTTGAATATGGTCCAGTCAATCTCAATCTGATGTTTTGTATGTGCCGTAGAATGTAGCAGGCTGCTTCCACTGATGACCTTTTCCTGATTATCAATAACATTTTGTGGAAGACTTTAATACAAAGTTCTTTTTATTTGAATATCAATATTTATCAATATTACTTCATGATTATATAGCTGGTTAGAACATTATTCATAAAGCTACTTTCCTCAAATGTACTGAGAATTTTTCTACTTAGTAAGTAAGGACTCAGTAAGTGTATGTAACTGATAAAGTCCACTCTAACAAGAGATGACAGAAGGCCGGAATATAATTGAACAAACCTTTCATAAAACAATAGTGAAATCTTGGTACAAGTATCATACAAACATGTAATACCATTGACGCTGAACTTCAATGAGAGTACATCTCATTTTGACAGCTTTATGCATCCAAAGTAAAAACTCAGATATCACATTCAATTGAGGAAGTTTTCCTTGTTGAGGTACTCAGAATGTGTAACAATCTCTTCATTCTGCTGAGTATATTGAACACAGAACACACAACACGGCCAAATCCACATTTAAAGGCTGACTTTCAGATGCTGCAGTCAGTGGCATAAACCCAACATTTAAAAATCTATTCACCCCTGGCATACTGCCTTTTCTCGATTGATTCTCAAATGAAAATAGGGTTATTACAATCTTTCTGTTATTTGTCTGTATTGTGTGTAATGGCATACTTCCCTGGTGTGTTCCATGTGAAGGTGGCAAGCTTGTGGTAGGAGGTGATATGATTGTACCCCAGGAGCTTGTCAAAAATGTAGTGTATAGAACGTTTCTGTTTAATCCATAAATTTCATACCGACAGCAATCTCTGTTTTTCTAGAGCCCATTGCTTGAATCAGTGAAGTTGTCAGTTAAAGGTAGACATACTTGGCTGTTGATCACATGGAATTTCAATAGTGAAAGCTCTCCCCTCTATGTCATTGATCCTTATGTCAACTGCTCCACAGTATCAACGGGAAAGAGGTTAATTTTCAGGAACCATCAATGGGAATTAATTGCTTATTGTAATCACTGTGTTGTGATGTTGTGTGTGTCATGGTCAGCCGACTGGTCAGCGTGGCCGCTGGAGATCTGCCAGTGTACTCTGGGTCTGTGTGATATAGGTGAAATAGGGCACATTCCTAGGTAGACACCATATGGTATAGCAGTCAATACTGTGTAAACATATACACTGCAATATAGTGCTTGACTGGGCCTACGCAATCAGGTACACATGCAGTGGACATTGAACTTCCTGGATAGAGTATATATCTGTCGGACATCACCTGGCACTTCCCAGTAAGTAATCTTATCATTCAGTATCACATGTGGGTTTGTTGTTCTAATTTCACATCGTAAATAAACGTAGCATGTAGATGGATTGTCAAATCTGTGACCTATTTCTTATCACTAGTAAATCTTGCTATGGCAAATCCAAAAAGATGATGAATAATGAAGAAATTTGATTTCGTAATTCTGTGACTACCTGACAAGGATTGTTCAGGGGATAATGCAAACAGGAGATGGAAGCAGGCAGTATCCCTTGGTCACTGACTGTAGTGGGCTCACAGTGGGAGGGAGGGCATATACTGGACAGAATGAGGCAGTCAGCCACAGGCCTCACAGTGGGAGGGAGGGCATATACTGGACAGAATGAGGCAGTCGGCCACAGGTCTCACAGTGGGAGGGAGGGCATATACTGGACAGAATGAGGCAGTCGGCCACAGGCCTCACAGTGGGAGGGAGGGCATATACTGGACAGAATGAGGCAGTCGGCCACAGGCCTCACAGTGGGAGGGAGGGCATATACTGGACAGAATGAGGCAGTCGGCCACAGGCCTCACAGTGGGAGGGAGGGCATATACTGGACAGAATGAGGCAGTCGGCCACAGGTCTCACAGTGGGAGGGAGGGCATATACTGGACAGAATGAGGCAGTCGGCCACAGGCCTCACAGTGGGAGGGAGGGCATATACTGGACAGAATGAGGCAGTCGGCCACAGGTCTCACAGTGGGAGGGAGGGCATATACTGGACAGGGGTGCATAACAAGTAACATATTCCACAATGAAACATGTCAATTGTTGTAAAGGCATTATGAAAACAGTGCACAGCTTCATGTAGAATTGACCATGTGTATTCCTGCACCCTTTGCCCTTCATTTTATAAGGATAGCTCATGGAAAATTACATAAAAATCCGTTGTCAATCCTAAATATAGTTACAAGTAAGTGTTGGGCTGATCTCTAAGTTATCAGTAATGTCCATTGAGTGCTCATATCACATCCTTGCTCCTTCACATCAAGGATGTGCATGGAGAGTTTGAGGTTGTTGAAAAATGAATTCTCGGAAAGAGAAAATAGTTGATAATGTGTATTGAAGTGTAGACGCCATGAATTGAATGTCACGGATAGTGTTGGCAGGATGCAGGGAATTCATGTCATCCACTGAACCTGGCTGACACCAAACAGGAAGATAATAAAGTACAATGTTATGTCAGAGATGAGTGTGGCAAGCAGGTCCAGGGGCACAGAGCTAGTGTACTCAAGCATGTTCAGAGTTGACAGATACATGGGGGTGAAGGGGGAAACATGATAGACTTGTTCACTGTTTGTACGACATAGATAAGGTAAGTGTTTGTCGGCCACATTATGCTATGGGCATGTTATTATTTAGTGGAAGGAGGATCTCGATTGCCCAGATGTAGAAGCCAACGTGTCTATCAACAAGGATCTATATTCTGGAGTGAAAGGACTGTTTGTTACAGTGAGTAGTGGTGGATATTGACATGTAGCTCCTGCCACTTCAGGATCCTAAATAATACTTGTATAAATATACAATGGACAATATATTTTTTACATTATATGTTTGTTTTGAGTGAAGGAGGAACTATAGTTGTTCCTATTGTGTGTGCACTGTTTGTTTGTGAATACACATGTCGAGTTCTGAATTTGGCCAAATTAATTCTTTTTCCCCCCTTAAAGTGTAAGAAACAGTGTTGAGGAATTGTACAATGTTAAAAAAATATAATTGATTCATTATAGGAAGTTTGTATCTGCAGGGTGTAGAAAGGATGTTTCGTTGTCTCAGACTGGTACAGGACATGTTGTAGGTTCCTGGGATTGCTTAGTACGTAGTAACTATAAATCATTCATGTCTGTTTCATTGTCATGATAATAAGTAATTACTCATCAATATGTTATTAATCATGTCACTTTTGTTCACTCATGTCAGTGGTGACTATGTGTTGTTTTTATGAGAAAGACATCTGATGTAATTACAACTGAACAACATTGTAGAATATTTAAGTAGGTCTATGACCCAAAATTGAATATCCCATAGAACAACCACTGGTTTTCCTATGAATCACAGCCTATTTCCGACTGATGCCACTTGCCCCACAACTAACACAATACAGACGCTATTATCTCCGCCTCTCAGTGCCTCCTCTAAGAGAGGAGCTTCACAATCAGACGCTCACTTTGTGCATGTGCATGTCAGAGAAAGAAAAGGGTCACGCAAATGCATGTGCTGTGTGTTTTGAGTTAGCTGACACAGATTGGATGTGTTTCGATGGATACTATTTCCCTGTGAACTAAACAGGTATGTCCATTAGTCGAGGAAGAGAATTCAAGTAATCCTTTGATGTTGTGATTATCCGACCCGGCCCATCAGGTAAGCTGATCGTTTCAGTAAACGTGATAAGTGTGTCACAGACGTGTGCTGGGATGAGAGATACTTTACAATGTGTTCATCATGGATGCGAAGGAAATTTTTTGATAAATATTGTCATTTTAATAGTAATAATGATGAGGTCATACTTCTTTTTCCAGTTCCTTCAAAGCCGAAATTTTTGGAGCGGATAATTACCAGTGCGAAGAAGTCCGGGGTAAAGTCTGGAACTAACGGGTTGATACAGGGGGACTGTGCTGCAGGGGATACTGTCAATGAGGTTGCAGCAGACGACACATGTGCACGAGCCGTCTGCTCAGCTGAAGACCATACTGACTCAGATTTTCCCGAGTCGTTGGATGGAGAGACTGACTGCTCAGAGGGTTCCATTACCCCAACAAATTCATCAATAACTAGCTCCCCACCCTGTCACCCCCGAGGAACATGGTCCACGCCCAGCTCTCCTCTCCGGTCAGGAATTGTGCAAAAAAGGTGTGAAAATTTTCAGCGACTTTACAATGTAGTACATGATAGTCCCCCTCTGCAACGTAAGTCATCATTGTGTCATATTCAGAAGGGCCACCAGTCAACCCCGACATCACCAAGCATTGAATGTAAACCTATTTGTGGTCCTCATGATCAGGTAGATAAGTTTGACAGACTGATTAAAAGTTACTATAGTATTTCAAGGGATGAAAAGTTTGCCAAAACAGTGATGTCACGAGGATACGTACGTGCGTTAGTGGAGCGGATTAATAGTACCCACGGCACGTTAGAACATGAAGGGTCTGACGTCGAAGATGAGGACACATGTACCGATAAAGATAATGTTGATCTATCTGAACAGACCTGTGAAACCCCTCTGCCCAAAGAAAAACCACCAGTGAAGTCGCCCAAACCTCACTTAGAAAAGTCACCCTGTGAAAATGGAAAATCCAAACCAAAGTTAAAATTACCCAATTCAGAGAAGGGGGATAATGCCTGTCTGTGTAGAATTGGACCCCGATCCTCGAATAAATCACCAGTGTCGAAATCATCGAAAAAAATCTCTCCATGTGACAATGTGAAAAAGCCTGTTGTGAATGGCAGTTGTGAGTGTGGAGAGGAGGATTCAGGATTCAATGTGGAAGGAGGATGTGGGCAACCTATGAGTCCGGCGGAGTTGTTTGACTCAAGTTGGTCTGAGTCGGATATGAGTTTTGAAGATTTCAGTGAGGAAAGTGATACTGAGGACAAAATTTTTGAGACTTTTGAAAAGAAGGTAAGTACTTTGTCTAGATATATCAGAGAGAGAGAGAGAGAGAGAGAGAGACTGTCAATTCCGTCCCAAATGAAGGCTTCATAAGGTCAGTATGCCGGATTTGCAAGTATATACATAATATGTATATTTTATTGGACTTTGTTCAAATGTAGGAGATTCATGCTGTGTTAACTGTGGGACATTGAACCTGGTACAGTACATGTGGGTTGAGGTCAAACAGTCCAAGATGGCCGTGTCCAGTTCTAGTTGACAGACACTGATGAAGGCAGTCACAGAGAGGAATACAGAAACTATGTATAACTGGTTAAGCTAGATGAAAATAGGGAAGATGTTTTGTATTCCTTGAAGATTATGTTAGAATCAGCACCATGCCTATGACATTTCAGTATGATCATTAGAGATAAAGATAGATGGTGACATATCACGATCTGTCCATGTAATTACAGACTGCAGGTAAACACCCACAACTTGATGTTTGTGTCAGTTCAGGTTATAGTCCACATTTCTTTTGATGGAAGAAATAATGTTGTGTTTGCTTAAAAAATAAGTGGAAATAGTTGTAAAATGATAATTTGATGAGATGGTGATTGACACAAAGATTAGGAAAGCTGCATGTGTAACTCCCTGTACCTGTGATCCATGAGGTTCTCATGGTCGCGCTTTTCATTTCTTCTTGGCAAATAATTTCTTAAGACAGAGAATTTATGGATATCGACTTCTTTGTTATGAGGACCACAACATTTCGGAGAATATGCTTACTCCTGCATCTTATGTGTGTCACTTCTAACTGCCATTCAGAAACCTCAGTAACTTCTTGTATTTTCCTGGATACATGTGGGACTTCGATGATAAAACAGTGATATACACCAGATGTAATGATACATTTGAAATAGTTGCCCCTACCCTGTATCAATATACACGTAACACATGCTGTACCCAATAGACACAACAACACTAATACACCCTGTCCCTATCAGCTTCATCCCACTGCCTGGAATTTCAGTTAAAAGAATTTTTTAGAAACAAAACAAACTATTAATATACTTTAAAATTGATATTGTTCCCTCTCAGCGACACACTGAACTTGTCTCAAATCAGACCATAAGTAGTTTGGGTTCAGTATCAGAACATTTTCCCCCAATGTTCTTATTTCGCATGTAGGGCCCCGATTTGATGGTGTTTGTTTCTACACTCAGCCAGTATTATGTCAGTGGAAAACTCTGACCAAGTGTGCCACTCGGCATCTGGGGGAAGTAATTAGCACTACACCACCTGGTGGTGAGATGGGGAGTGTATGAGCAGGGGGATTACTCAGATTACAGGGAAGGGGCAGAGTCTGTCTGGAATGTACTTAATTACAAAATACTTTGTATGTAAATAGATATTGCTAGTGCACATAAGTCACATTTAATCTTGTCAAAAAAAGGGTTTATTATGTGAGAAGTTCATCAGTTGATTGGCAGCTTCTGAAATAAGATTGTAATTGCTCACTGGATATGATGTTGTAAAATAAATCTATAACTGTTTGTACTCCTTTTAGAGAACAGAATTGTATATCTTGAAGCATTGACAGAAATTAATGGATGCAGATCAGAACATGAAACTTTAATTTCTCATCAGAGAGGGTCCTTTAATTATAGAAGATCCATTAAGTATCTCATAAGAGATTTATTTAATTTTGCAAATAAAAACAATTCCCCCAAACCCTGTGTCAATACGGAAAAACAAACAAGGATTTGATTTATGATGGAAAAACCAAAATATAACTGGCTGTAAAATGTACTGGTATATCCAGAATCTCTATATAAATACATACAAACAAACAATAGATCCAAACATTGTCAGTTAAGCTGTATAATCATGGGCCAGGAGATAATCACTTTAACACGATATCTGATATTGTCCTCATGCAGAATCAGACGTCAATGCTCCAAGAACCTTTGACATTTAGCGAGCATCTGTATGACCCTTTATAGACACCTTAAACATGAAGCCTGTTATCAAATTTTCACCTACCATAAACCTGGGAAATATGGTAACAAAGTTATTAATAGATTTTTTTCTATTTTTAAGTTGCAGCCCTCGTTGAGCTGTCTGGGCTTACAACATGTGATATAACAGGCTTGAGTGGCTACATCTGTGAATGAATTATTTCTTGTTTGCCATCAACACGAGGGAATCAGTAGGGATATAGTCTGCCTTGTATTACTAACTTATATATTGATATATATCAAAGAGAAGTCCCACATCCCCTCAAACAACCAGTGTCTGCATGGGCAAGTTTTGAAATAGATTCCCTAAAATAAGCCAGCATATGCTAATGTGGTTATGAAGTAGGATAGGTTAGCGGAACATGTTCGTGTTTCACACTTGACCTGACAGTGCAAAGGAAACGGAAGATATCTTACACATGCCGTCAGCTTGTTCATCCAGTGTGAGGATTGTCTCCTGCTAAGATTGGGGATTACAAACCATCAGTTTCCATGTCTAATGTAGTGGATGGACACCTGGTGTGAGACTCATGTCCAGTTCAGTGACCAGCTGTGTGTCAGGACAATCCTGGACACGCTTGGGCTGCGAGTGAGGTGGACAGACACTATCTCCCAGCTGCCTGTGGATGCCGTGTTCCATGCATGGTGTGTATATAAGGAGGGGGGAAATGGGGGAAATGGCAGTCTTGATGTGTAGAAGAAATGACACAAACTTTTACATGTGTACAGTGTTCTTCATCAGTTTGCAAAGCTTCCATCTCCCTTTTAACTTTTGACTATTTTCTTTAACATTGTAGTTATTGGTAGAATTTAACAGAATCGACTCTCCTGCTCATTTATATATAGTGATGCAGTGATGTAACATACTGATACTCTACAATGGACTCATTAGTTAAGTAAACTCTTATTGACACTTAGTCACCATTTAGAGGCACAGGAATTCGTTTTTAATTTAGTCTACAAATACTAGCTGTGAGGTACTATGTATTATACAGCTTGAGGTAATATGTATCATACAGCTGTGAGGTAATATGTATCATACAGCTGTGAGGTAATATGTATTATACAGCTTGAGGTAATATGTATCATACAGCTGTGAGGTAATATGTATCATACAGCTTTGAGGTTATATGTATCATACAGCTGTGGGGTAATAAGTATCATACAGCTTTGAGGTTATATGTATCATACAGCTGTGGGGTAATATGTATCATACAGCCGTGAGGTAATATGTATCATACAGCTGTGAGGTAATATGTATCATACAGCTTTGAGGTTATATGTATCATACAGCTGTGGGGTAATATGTATCATACAGCTTTGAGGTAATATGTATCATACAGCTGTGAGGTAATATGTATCATACAGCCGTGAGGTTATATGTATCATACAGCTGTGGGGTAATATGTATCATACAGCCGTGAGGTAATATGTATCATACAGCTGTGAGGTAATATGTATCATACAGCTTTGAGGTTATATGTATCATACAGCTGTGGGGTAATATGTATCATACAGCTTTGAGGTAATATGTATCATACAGCTTTGAGGTTATATGTATCATACAGCTGTGGGGTAATATGTATCATACAGCTGTGAGGTAATATGTATCATACAGCTTTGAGGTTATATGTATCATACAGCTGTGGGGTAATATGTATCATACAGCCTTGAGGTAATATGTATCATACAGCTGTGAGGTAATATGTATCATACAGCTGTGAGGTAATATGTATCATACAGCTTTGAGGTTATATGTATCATACAGCTGTGGGGTAATATGTATCATACAGCTTTGAGGTAATATGTATCATACAGCTGTGAGGTAATATGTATCATACAGCTTTGAGGTTATATGTATCATACAGCTGTGGGGTAATATGTATCATACAGCCGTGAGGTAATATGTATCATACAGCTGTGAGGTAATATGAATCATATAGCTGTGAGGTAATATGTATCACTCACTCACTCACTCACTCACTCACTCACTCACTCACTCACTCACTCACTCACTCACAAAAGAGAATGAAGTAGTAGAGTTATTGCATGAGAAAGCTAACCCATCCCAAGCAATCAGACATGCAGTGGTAGCATGAAGTGTTGATTGAGATGCCGATGTGAAACAGTTGCAAAGCAAGCAGCTCTGTTGATTGTAGGGTGTGTTGGTCAACTGTCAGATGCTTTAGTCGTGTGATTTCTAAATAATACTGAATGTCAGATCGGTGAAAATTGGAATACTTTAATGAAAAAATTTCAAGCATTTCACACTGTGGCTTTTATTCTGCTTGAGTCCCCTAGGTGAATGGACAAGCATGTAAGACATGAAGAGATAGGTGGTATATATATATGTAGGAGGAGCTAGAGGGAGGGGTCACAACCTTCCTGCGACACCCAGCTGTAGGGCAACTGATACCTATCTCTAGATAGGTCTTAAATATGTAGTGGAGGACGTAGAGGGAGAGGCCATGACCACGAGCTTGTAGGTTCTATATGATTGAAGGGATAAAAATGTCTCTGTCTGTTGTTTGGTTTGAAGAAATGTGATTCTATGATATTTTTCATTTTCCTCTTTGCATAAATGCAAAGTTACATGCCCTTGGTGTGTGAAGATTTTAGGGAAAAATTAGTTGGAACAAAACAATAAAGTAAAATATCTTCTCCCCCATCTTCCCGAGGCAAGGGAGTTAACTGACTATAAAAGTCCAGTTTCCACCCTTGCCGAACTAGACTGGTATTATGGAGTTACAATTTGGCTGGACTAACGAGTCAATGCATAGTCCAATTTGATGCATTTCACGATGTAAGACCCGTTTTATCACAATATAGATCTTGATTATCGAGCAGATCGTCCTCACGTGGCACCGCCACTTTGTTTGAAGCAAATGCAAGTGATACGAGAGGTGGAATCTGATTGGTCCATAGGAGAGGCTTAGAAGGGACATAACTGGTAATAGCCACTGGTGGCGCTATGATCGAGCCCAGTAATTCCAGCCTAGTTCGGCAAGGGTGGAAACTGGACTTTTAAAGTCAGTTAACTCTCTTGCCTCGGGAAGATGCTTCTCCCCTACCACACCCTTACCGTAGGTTTTCACTGAATCTTCATGGAACAGATTCTCTTCATGGGATCTCTTTCCTTTACAATAATCGATTCTGATGGATACTTTGTGTATGATATTCAAGGAAATAGTTTGGTACAAATGCTTTCATCAATGCTTCTAACTAGTGGAAAATCCTTCAGCCCTCTAGGCATGTTACATTTCAGCAGTTCCATCTGAACCCCACGTTGAATGGGATCGTGTTTGTTATGATGTCTCACCCTTGTAACATACACCAGGTTAGGAGCTGGTAGGAGTGGGTCATCCACCACACGTGGACAACACACATGCACAACACACATGGACAACACACATGCACAACACACATGGACAACAAACATGCACAACACACGTGGATAACACACATGCACAACACACATGGACAACACATGTAGACAACACACATGGACAACACACATGGACAACACACATGCACAACACACATGGATAACACACATGGATAACACACATGCACAACACACATGGACAACACATGTAGACAACACACATGGACAACACATGTAGACAACACACATGCACAACACACATGGACAACACACATGCACAACACACATGGACAACAAACATGCACAACACACGTGGATAACACACATGGACAACACATGTGCACAACACACATGCACAACACACATGGACAACACACATGGACAATACACATGGACAACACACATGGACAACACACATGGACAATACACATGGACAACACACATGGACAACACACATGGACAACACACATGGACAATACACATGGACAACACACATGGACAATACACATGCACAACACACATGGACAACACACATGGACAATACACATGGACAACACACATGGACAACACACATGCACAATACACATGGACAACACACATGGACAACACACATGGACAACACACATGGACAATACACATGGACAACACACATGGACAATACACATGCACAACACACATGGACAACACACATGGACAATACACATGGACAACACACATGGACAACACACATGCACAATACACATGGACAACACACATGGACAACACACATGGACAACACACATGGACAATACACATGGACAACACACATGGACAACACACATGGACAACACACATGGACAACACACATGGACAATACACATGGACAACACACATGGACAATACACATGCACAACACACATGGACAACACACATGGACAATACACATGGACAACACACATGGACAACACACATGGACAACACACATGGACAATACACATGGACAACACACATGGACAACACACATGCTTAACACACATGCACAACACACATGCACAACACACATGGACAACACACATGGAGAACACAAGTGGACAACACACATGGACAACACACATGCTTAACACACATGGACAACACACATGCACAACACACATGGACAATACATGTGCACAACACACATGCACAACACACATGCTAAACACACATGGACAACACACATGCTAAACACACATGGACAACACACATGGACAACACACATGGACAACAAACATGCACAACACACATGCGAAACACACATGCACAGCACACATGGACAACACATGTGCACAACACACATGCACAGCACACATGTAGACAACACACATGGACAACACAAGTGGACAACACACATGGACAACACACATGCTTAACACACATGGACAACACACATGGACAACACACATGGACAACACACATGGACAACACATGTGCACAACACACATGCACAACACACATGGACAACACACATGGACAATACACGTGCTTAACACACATGCACAACACACATGCACAACACACATGGACAACACACATGGACAACACATGTGCACAACACACATGCACAACACACATGGACAACACACATGGACAACACACATGGACAACACACATGGACAACACACATGCTTAACACACATGGACAACACACATGCACAACACACATGGACAATACATGTGCACAACACACATGCACAACACACATGGACAACACACATGCTAAACACACATGGACAACACACATGCTAAACACACATGCACAACACACATGGACAACACACATGCACAACACACATGGACAACACACATGCTAAACACACATGGACAACACACATGGACAACACACATGGACAACACACATGGACAACACACATGCACAACACACATGCACAACACACATGCACAACACACATGGACAACACACATGGACAACACACATGGACAACACACATGAACAACACACATGAACAACACACATGGACAACACACATGCACAACACACATGGACAACACACATGCACAACACACATGGACAACACACATGCACAACACACATGCACAGCACACATGGACAACACACATGCACAGCACACATGGACAACACACATGGACAACACACATGCACAACACACATGGACAACACACATGCACAACACACATGGACAACACACATGCTTAACACACATGTAGACAACACACA